ACGTACGACGTACGACCGACCGTCGCGAGACGTCGCGGGGGTAGTTTCCATCATTGTCTTTCTACAGACCCATCAGCTCCGTGCTCTATGAGGAGCTTCGCGATCAATTCTCTATCGCACACGGCTGCATAGTGCAATAGCAGTTTGGCCCTCGTTATCCTGGATTGAACTTTTCAATATCAGTTCCAATAAAGGAGAGAACTCCTTTACCAGTCAAACATGAGCCCTACGTTTCTATCACCTTCCACCTCTCTCTCTCTCTCTCTTTCTCCCCCTCTCTTTCGCTGTCTCTCTCTCTCTCTCACATAAACCAGCAACATACAAATTACCAGGTCTTAAACATAATCTCTCTCTCTCTCTCTCCACACACCCTATGCACTAGGACATACAAGACAAGCAATCGGTTTTACATCCCAGGGATCTTAATCATCTTCAGACAATGCATGTGGTCTTGAAGCAAAGATCTTCCAAAATGCATGAGCATCCCAAGTGTGTTAAAAGACACTTGGATATTGTATTATTAAACTATCCACAAAATCAACTCCATATATCGCAAGAATCGGCACAAAGAAAAGATTAACAGACAAAACCTAATGCAATGATGTGCAAGCAAGTGTGAAAGACAACGCTATTGTTGTTGGAAGAGGAAGCAGGGGCAGGAGCCTGGGATTGCCTTGTCAGTGTAACTCCCTAGCTTGGAAGCATTGTTCAAGGAGTGGCCAGGCAACTGCCCCTGATATGTACTATATGTATATGGGTGCACCAGGGAAGCACCTTTAGAAAATATATATTTATTTGAAAAAATGTGCAATTTGCCTTTTTAGAATTACCTGTAACTCTATAGCCTATTAGTCACATAGAAACATGAGATATACCGCTCTAGTATGAATAAAGCTCAGGAATTGCTAGACCCCCTATAGTGAACTGGTGATGCCCCAATTCACTACATGAACCACTCGATTTTGGACAACCGAGCTATATTGCAGTTTGGGATCATCCAGGACCTGATAGTCATCTTGTCCACTTTTTAATTACTGATGCAAACCACGACCATGAAAACCAATATCAACGGGTGCTGTGGTAGTCAAAAAGCAAAAACTCAGCAGGAAATCAAAGATACCAATTTCAAAATTCAATAAATTTTGACACACCCTTGGAATTGTGCCCCCACCTTTAGTTTTATCGCAATCCCCTTTCCAAATCGGGGTTCAAGGATTGAGATCCTTAAAAGCGGAGGCCGTGAGCTCCACTAAGGCTCTCGCCCCGAGATCGCCAAAGCAAGAATTCAAAGGGTTTGCCACCCCTCAAGCTAGCTAACCATATCTATGGAGAGAGGAATGATATCTTGGTTTCGATGGAAGAACTTAATCTCAAACCATAGTATGGCTATCTTAATAAGAACAAGTGCTCTTGTAGAATGGTTATCCTCTCTCTCTCTCTCTCTCTCTCCTCTCTCTCTCTCTCTGTCTGTCTCTCTCTGTCTCGTCTACGTTACGTTACGTTACGTTACGTAACGTCGTACGTCGTACGTACGTCGTAACGTCGTAGTA